AGGAGCATGGAAACAAGCAGAACCTGCAGGTGAAGCTGAGGGTCCTCAGTCCACTAGTGATGACAACAGAGGCATTCCACTCCTTTTTCCAGATGTTTGTGCTCAAGAACCAGACTGTGGGCATCACTGTTTAATTTCCTTAGCCATGCAGAAATGTTATGAATCAGATGAAAACGGGACTATGGTGTGGCAGGGTGTTTTGGGGTGAAAAAAACCCATGAGCACCCAAAAGGGAAAGTAAAAGCTGGAAAGCACAGCAAAGCTGTGCTTGAGAGATTGAGCACTTCCACTCATCTTGCACCTTGATTTATCTGGTTGATCTTGGCCATCACCTCACATTTCTCTGATTCCTGCATTCCTGCAGATACCTTCAGCCAGGGAGAGATTCCAAATAACCTTAATCTCGTGCAGATTGTTAATAAAAGTACCAATCCTCACAATGAAGTGATGATGGTAGCTGGTTTAATCATTTGCCTCCATCATAGAAGAATATGAGACAGACCTAGAGACAAATTCCAAAGACAAAGATCCAGGCAGAAAATTCTTATCATAAAAACTGCTAGAAAGTGGTATTCAGAGAGGATCTGTGACACTGCAGAAGTAGTGCTCCTCTTTCCCTGAGAAAAAGATGGATTTAGGGAGTCATGGACTTGGAAATGGTGGCTTTTGTTATATTATGGTGGATGTGTGTGTGGGAAGAAATCACCATGTTCTTTGACTAATGATAATTTTCTAATTAAGGCTCAAATTGTTTGGCCTGACAGAACTGTATTGAGTACCTGGGGAGGGAGCAAGATTGGTTTGGAGTGGAAGCAAAATTGACTTGAAGCAATCTTCCTTGTTCTCTGATTTCTGCGTTAAGAACATACTGTGAAGGCAACAGTTGCTGAGGAGAAGGAAAGTTGGGGTGAAATGACTGCTCTGAACTGGAATAACAAGGTGTATGATCCAAGATCTCCTGAAGAGCATAACAAAGACTATCTCTCTTGGTAAAACATAGACTTTATACAGCATGAAAGGTCCTCAGTCTTTGCTTTGACAAATCATGCAAAGATAAAAATAACTGATTAAAAAAAAAAAAAAGTGTTACTAGGATACCAATCATTCAGTGGAGGGCAAATCAGAACTTAGTGAGTCTGTAGGTAATGATAATTATAGTGTTGAGTAAACATGTGAGACAGCCTGCCAGTAATCCTTCCATTAGTTGGGGAAGTCAGGGTGGGATCCCTGGTTCCAAAAGAAAATTTGATTTATATTGATTGTTTTCTTGTAGACTTCTTGCTGATATACATATTCAAAACAGAATCCCTTTCCTGGGAGGGAGAACTCCTCAGACTTTATTAAATGTGTTTGCCTGAATGGATTCACAGCTAGGATTTTGTCCTCACTACAAGACACAAATCTGCTTTGCTGCTGACAAAACTCACTTGTTTTTGTCCTACCAACTTCCAGAGTGGACCACCACCCTTCCTGTGACAAGCTTATGCACTGGAAGTCTGATGTCATGCTCCTGGTGATTGCCCTCAAGAAGGAGGCATCCCAGTGTCTCCCACCATTCCTTGTATGTTCCCTTCACTTTTGTTGATTCTGCCTACTTCTCTCTAATTTACCTGGGCTTTTACGTATGCCTGGAGCTGTAAACGGGACTTCTGCTCAAACTTCCCAATCTCCATTTCTTACACACAGTCTAGCTCCTAATACATGTAACAGTACCATGTTATTAGCTCACTGAGCTTGAAATCTTGAAATCATAATTTTGACTTTTTTTCTTCAGTAGCTCTGAAAATATTGCATTTATTTCCTATTATTTAAGTATTAATTTGTTTTCCCCTTCCCAAGCATGATGCTTTAGATATGTTTTTACTGAACTCCATTTGTTTAATTTGGAGTGAAGACTATTTGGAATTCAGATCCTGGTTTCCCAAGCACGTGAAAGCTCTCCTGTCCCTATTCCTTGCTGTCGCCTGCAAATTTTCCAAGTGTTTTCTCTGTTCCAATACCCATATCATTGATAAGTAGAGAGTATACAGGAAGTATAAGTAAGTAAGTAGAAGTATACAAGATCTTCTGGTGAGATCACATTTAAACCATGATCCATGTGTGTCAGCAATTGTTTGTGTACACTCCATTAGTCAGTGATTTTACTTGCACTTAAGCAGTTAAGATTTGGATGTCACAAAGGGTCATGCCAGAACCCTTGCTAAAACAAAGGTACAGCATATTGAATGCTATGGATATGAGCTATCTGGGAAATGAAGGAAATCAATGTGACTTGGTGTGACTTGGTTTTAATTTTTAACACCTTTTCCTCAAAGGGTTTGTAAGTATAGTGTACAGGGAGTTGTTGGGGTCTCTTTCTGGGTGTCAGAGGTAGGCTGGCTGTTCTATAAATACTTTTCCCCTTTCAACAGATAGGTGTTGCACTATATTTATAATTATACTTATATCTATTCTATTCCATCCTAAATTGCCCCCTTGTTCCTCAAGCCAAACACTCTGAGGAAAGTTCTAATGGCTCAGACATCACTGAGACTTGTTCCTCCAGTACTTCTTGGTGAGTGTGGCCAGGCCTTTATATTTTAGATAAGCATATCTAGCTGTTCCCTCTCTGCCCTGGCCTGACCCCCTATTCTTTTGTTTAAACTAATTTTATTAGGCATTGTGCACAGCAAGTTTCTTTAGTGAGCACTGAAACAATGGGTGCTTTGGCCTCTGTTGTGCAGCCTGCTATTTGCTCTCTCTGCTCTGTATTGCTGTACTTCTTTCCTCATCTTTTGTTCTGGCAACATTTTCTGGTTGCCTTTTATGCCTCCTACTATTTGTAACTCTTTGTATGCCCCACTGTTCTGCTGTGTCCTTACATATTATATAGTCAGACATGGAGAGGTGTCCTGGTTTTTCCAGGATTTCAATGGGACTTTTATTTCCAGGTGCCTAAAGAATGCCTTAAAATACCATATCAACCTGCAGTTGTGCTTTCTTTTCCCTTTGTGTCTGAACAGCTTATTGAAAAACCTTTAAAAGTTTTTTTTTTTTCAGTATCTGCCAGTGGTCTCCTACCCTTTTATCCTTTCAATTATCTTCTCAAGACCTTCCACATCAGCTTATGAATTTTTAGAAATCTGCTCTTATGAAGTTGATCCCTAATAGTACGGCTATTCCTAAAACAGTGATCTGTCATTTCATATTTGCCTTCTTTCACCCAGATTATCTTCTACCCTTTTATGCAACCCCTCATAATTTTCTGAATCACATTCAGTTTAGCTGTGTCCCCAAACATTGTCTCTTCACACCACACCTTCTGAGGGAAAACCTGCCCTCAGTGCATTCCAAGACTCTGACAATGGTCTGTGTCCTCCTCTATTGCTTTTCAGAGCATGAGATGCTATTTGAAGTGCCCTGTAGAGACAAGGTTGACTCTTGAACATCTCTAGGAGTTGCTCAAGCAAAAAGACCCTCATGTATTGCTTCTTCTCCATGATTTCATTTTCTCCAAAACACATCCAACAAGACATACATATTTTTCTTTTGCCTCCTCATTTTAACTCAAAGGCAGTCAAGAAGCCAGCTTCTTAGTTCTCACTGAAATGGAAAACAAGTATTCATGTCTAAATGCCTTGTCCTGTCTTTCTTCTTGGAAAAAAAAAAAAAAAAGCTGTATCTGTGCCCCTGTTCCAGTTCCCTGATTTGTTCCATCAGGACTTCGTGGCCCCTGTGATGTCACAGATTTGTGTATATGAATACTGTGAGTGTTCCTCTTTATTCAACACATTCCTGATATGGCATATAGCTATTTTGGATGTTCAGCTGTTTGCCCCACCACTCACTCCCTGGTCTCTCTTGTGCTTTTTGTGAACCATTTCCCTGTGGAGATTGTTAACAAAGTTCTAATTACTGCCAAGTGAAGGGTATAGTGGTGGCTTTGTGATGCAGATACTGGTCAGCCAGGAACTTGACTGAGACTACAAAACTCCTGTAATTCCCATCTATCTCTGGACAGACTCCAGATGGTAGTAGCTTTCAGTCTCTGCCAGCCTGGTTTGGAGCAGTTTCCCTGTGTGTGATTTTGCATGTCTGTCAGCCAAATCAGAAAGCCAGTCCAAAAATCTAGTACTTAGAGGGTGTTTGATACCCGTGGGAGCTGTCTGGGTCAGGAAACCAATGACTGGTTTAGAACAGATTGGGGAAAAAAAAAAAAAAAAGAAAGAAAGTGGTAGAAATGCCACGGTCAGCATTTTAGTTACAAATTTACAAATACAGCTGCAATTACATGAAAATTACCAATGTAAAGCAAAAAGTTGTTTGTTTTTGTGTTTTGGTTTGGTTTGGTTTGGTTTGGTTTTTTTTTTTTGCAAGTGTTGCCTGACAGCCTCAATAAAGATTAAAGCTGAGCTGGAATTTTTCATACTGAATGGTGGAGTTGCAGCCTCCCCTGATGTGTGACAATGTCAATGAAGTGTCATTGTAGGTTGTTGGTTTTCCAGTGCCCACAGTGTGCAGCCTAGGTGGAAGTCACAGCTGGAGAAGCTGCCACTGAGAGCTCCTTCACTCCCTTGATCACAGGGAGTCCTTGCAAGTCCTTGATGAAAAGATAACACCAAAAGCATTGAAAAAATGATGGCCCTTTACAGAGCAATAAGGGCAGATCTCTTAGACCCTGTCCTGTACACATCCATTTAAACACATAGCTTTCCTTTGTATACCACAGAAATACTTTTTTTATTATTTAATTCAACCTAATGAATAATTAATACACTATAATTAATGACACATTAATATACTCCATACATTATAAGGAGAAAAATGGTAAAGCTCATTGGAACACTGTCAGTTGTTACAAATGACAAATAGGCAACAAAACTGAAAACCCTATTTGCTGATCATGTGAGTTACTTTCTAACTGGGTTTTGTATGTGCACCAACCTCTCTATTCCTGATTAATGGGAATGTTTGTACATTTTTGCATAGAGACAGATTTGTGCTTATCTATTGCTTTATAGGTGTTGCAAGAAGATGAGCAGGAAGCCCATCCTGCACCAGACAAGCTAGAATGTTCTGATAAACATTTTCAGAGGACAAGTGAGTGACAAGTCCCATTTGTTTCCATTTAACACAGCAGGTCAGTCAAAATCACACATAAAACACCATTATGAACTATGACAAGTAATAATCCATATTTGCCAAGTGTAAGAGGAAAACCAGTTTAAGCACTCCCTGTTCAACAAATCCCCCTCACTAAATTTTACCTTCTCACAAATCTCAAGTCTATAAAAAACCCTTGCAAAAATGTTGGGATTTAGTGCAGCAAAGCAAAGCAACACTCATGAGATCTTTGCCTAAGAATGACCTGTCCTAAGACTATAGCTAAGCATATCCAGGAAGCATTTGCTTCTGAATCCCAGTTTATCCCAGCTGCTGGGTAAAACCACAGGGACTAGTTTTTGAGATACCTGTGGCAAGGCCAAAATTATAAAATAACTCGCATTTAATCCTTGAACTACACCTGGATACAAGTGGGAACTAGCAGTGTTTACAGAGCTGTGTGTTCCTTGAACACACAAGTACAGAAACTAAGTTTGATAATTTAGGCTTTAAATGGACAGAGGGACTTCTTTAACACCTGAGATGCCCTCTAAACCAGCTCATCTACCCCAGAGCCTGAGCAGCTCAGACCAGGATACAAGATACATGTCTTTAGTGAATGCACAGAATAAGCCTCTTTTTTTGTCCTCTCCAGTATTTTATTCAAGCTAAAATCTAATTAGAGCTGTGATTTTGGTGTGCTCTTTGCTGCTGCTATGACAATTCCTAAAAGCATTTTGTGAACATCAATTGTGTGTGATAGTTCTGCAATGAGCTCTGCAGCTACTGAAGGAGAGGAGAGGGACAACATGAGCTCTGTTTTATTATTGCACAGTACAGATAATGATACACTAACCATATCAAAAGGAGCTTTGTAATTATTGGCTCAGGAGCTCTTGTGGTTATTTTACATTTAACCCACAGACCAATTTGGTGTCTGCTGGCACATGGTGGCCATATGGAGGGCAGAAAGCATTACTGCCTACCACGGGAGAACATAATCTGGAGAGCGGAGGCATTTCCATGTGCTGAACAAAGTTCCACCCACATCATAAATCGGTCATTCTGCCACATCATAAGCTGCAGGAAAAAAAACATCCCATAAATCTTTACAGAGACTCTACAGGACCTCAGTCAGAGACTGTCTTCTGTGCAGCCCATGAATGCACAGCTGATGCTTTGTAATAACAAGCAATACTCACATATCTGCTACCAATGCATTCTGTCACGTAATACTGCTATATATTTTTGGAGCAGTGTTGAAAAGCACACAGACTACTTCTCTCCTATGAAAAATGTTAATTAGACAAATTATCACCTGATTAAGATGGGCAAAAAACCCATGGAAATTTATTATGAAGATCCATAGTGACTATTTCTAATCACATCTTTTCACATGTTGTCTTTGAGAATCAAATTTTAAAATGGCTGAAGAAATTTTTAAGTATATATATATATATATATATATATATATATATGTATATATATATATATATATATATTTTTATGTAAGAAGCAAATTTGTGTTGACTTTTATTTATTACTGCACACAAAAATATTTCCCTGGACAAAACACAATTGTCTGTCCACCTCCATAAATATGCTTTTATTTATGTATGTGTCTATGCTCCTCTGCTGGTGTGTTTGTTGGGAACGGGTGCTTTAGAACTTTTGTCCAGGTCCTACATTTTTACTAATATTTTGGGAAAGTTTTATTATTCCTTTTCTGGGGGAAGACTGAAAAGAAGACAAAAAATTAATTTGAAACCAAATTATGATTGTTCTTGCTGGTCCTATACTACAGTATAGGATAAACAGCAAGGGAACTTAAACACATGGAAAAGGAGATTTTGTTTGCATTTCCTAAACAAATATTTTTTAGTAGTATAAAAATAGGTGGAACAGGAAGATAGGCAGGACCAATGTAGAAGAAAAGCATGTTTGTGCCCAGTTCACCGGAGAGATTGTCAAAGAACATTTTATCATAATGAAAATATTACCCTTGGAATGCCAGCATGAGCAACGTCTATTCAAGTTGCCTGCTCTTTTTGCTTCTAGTCACTAAAGTTAGACTTGTCCTAGAGTTATTGTGACTAGATGATTTTTTTTTTTAATTTCAGAAAATGTTCTCTTTCATTCACGAATCAATAGCTCTTTGCTAGTCCTGGCTTTGCTGCTTGTACTTCTCTGTCAGCCCTTGCTAAGGGCTGTTGCTAAGGGCCAGAGGAAGTGTCTTGTTGAATTCTGCTGAGAAATTGGGGAGGAAAAGCACATTTCTGTGAGGTGCAAATGAAGCACTTAGCCCACTGCTGTCCTGCAACATAGGAAATATGATTCTAGCTGGAACAAGCTGCTCATGATTAGGATCCCCCTGTGTTTCAGAATTCTGACAGGCTATTCCTAATCCCATAAAATTAGGAGTGTGCCATGGTGAGATCTAAAGAGCAATATTTTTCTTACAGTAAAGGACTCCAAGAAACCTGTTTCAAAAGGAAACTTTTATAAAGGTTGCCTCCTTCACTTGATGAAATTAACATAATTTTTTCTGTAGATTTCAATGAGAAAAAAACCCAAAACCCTTTAGTCAAACAGCTTCCAGTACCTTTATTTGAAAGCAGCTGAGTGGGGCATATATAAATTTCCTAGAAGTTTTATAGATAACAAACTAATAAGCCTAGTGAAATTCTCCCTTTAATGATTTGGAATTTAGCTAGAGGGAACAGAAACATTCAGACCCATGAAATATGCCTCATTTACTTTCTGATGTATTTAATTTTAAATAAATATTCAGAATATTTATTTTAATACATTTCATGGTGTCTTGTACAGCAAGCTTTGACAAAAATCACATAGTTTTCAAAAAGTGATACACTCATATCGTGACTTACTGTGCCTAGCAAGTCCTGCACAGCAACTATACCACTCTTTCAAGTGACTCTATTAATATCTGATGACTGCATCAATTAGTAATTTTACTGCAGAGTTACCCTCCAGCATGGAAGAAATACAGTTCTCTGGCAAATTGCACGCAGGGGAACCTGCACTATCCATGTTTCTCAGGCACGTGAGCTCGGGATCTAAGAGCCTGCTCTATCAAGGTCACGTGTGCATTGATAAAGAGCCACAGCTGGGGCTGTGTGATCAACAGGAACATGAATACACAACCCAGTTGCGTCAGGCAAGCCCTTGTGGTTGCATCTCTCCTACCCTACCCAAAGGCTGAAGGTTTTTTGTGTCTGCCTATGCCTGCAGGTTACAGTGCTAATGAGACTGTCTTGTGTCCTCTGAACAGTCTGTGCTGGAGTTGGAATATGCTTCCTGTCGTTCATCAGAAGAACTGGCAAGCAAGCAAGGCTGACAGATGTAGTTCAGACTTATGAGGATTTCCTGGTAAGATTGTTTTTTCCCTGTACAACTAATTATGAAAGTAATGGTAGAGATGAATATCCATTTCCCTTTGTTTGCAGTTGCAAAAGTTTGGCATCCACTGACATTTCCTGGTGGTGTAGAAAAGCCAGAAGAGTAATGGGTTGTTGTAATGGTTTGGCCTGAAGATTCTTCCTGTGGACCTAAGTGGATGGTAATTTGAATGATATGTCCTGCGAGGTGAGAGCCATAAATGAGGTCTGAGCAGAAGTGAAAGTCTAAGTGATTGTTAATGTATTGAGATTAAGGTGCCAAATTTCATTTCACCTCTTTAAGATCTGGACAGGACAAAGATACTCTCCCTGCTTTAGAATAAGGAAATAGTGAAAGGAGGAACTTCTGGTCTGTATTCCTCAGAAATTCCCAGGAGGTGTGATGAGTGCACTTCTTCTTCCAAGACTGCTAATGAAAAGCCACAGCGTTCTGGAGGAGGTACAGATGGCTTCTGAAGGATGGTTGTATGATGCTTCATTCAGTGGGATTCCGACTCATCATAGCCAGCCTGCTACCTCAGAGACAGGAGCTGATGTTTCAAGCATGATCGTGGAGCTGAGCACCTTCTGGAGCAGTCACGCTGCATCTTGGATGAATACCAAAGCTGCTGGGCGTTCAGCACTGAGACAGTCTCCAAGGGAGCTGGGAATGCATGACCCAGGAAGACCCACAGCTCCAGAATTCACCAGGAAGCACAGCATCTCTTCTTTCATCTCAGGCTAGCTAAAACCTTTCCATTAGAGCAGGGTTTTCCTAATCAAATACCTCTGTGGCAAAAGATGGTTTGAGAATTCATGATTTATGTGTTAAAAGACTGAAGAAAGGGGCCTCCTACTAAACATTCTGTTTCTTTATCCTGCATAACCATACCTTCCCCATATTCATGCTTTGATGTAGATAACAGAAATGAAATAAAAGTGGTAGAGATATTATGATTTTTAATGTTCATTGGATATTATTTTTTATGCTTCTTCCTGTGCTCAAGACCCTAAAAGTTAAGGCAAAACTAAAAAAAAAGAAGGGATTTGCCAGGCAAATGGTATGGAGGAGGATAAGAAAAGCTGTCGCACAACACAACTGTCACATATGCTTTTTCCACCACCCTCTATCTCCTTTGGTTGTTCAGTATGTAAGAATAGTTTTCTTTCCCCAAATGCTTACAGAACTTCCCTACAAGACTAGTATCTGCAAATGACATTACTTTTACCCAGAGAAAATATGTGTGCAGGCTGGGCAGGGTTATGTTTTTTAATGTTCTTTGCACTCTCAACTAGTCTGCAGTTGCAAGTTGCATTACCAGCATTTATCCATTAAATTTTGCCACGTGAATTCCTTTCCTCAGCCTTGCTCACCAGTTGAGATTTGCTAGGCTTGAGGAGCTTGAGGTTGGATATTAGGACAAGGTTCTTCAGAGGGTGGTTGGGCACTGGAACAGGCTCCCCACAGAAATGGTCACCAGCCAGTCAATCCAGCCTGGCAAAGTTCAAGAAGCATTTGGATAATGCTCTGAGATCAATGGTGTGACTCATGGGGTGTCCTGTCCAGGACCAGGAGCTGGACTCCATGATCTTTGCGAGTCCCTTCCAACTCAGGATGTTCTATGACTCTGTGAGATGTAGCACTCAAACACTGAGGCTGCAGGAGAAATGGCGGTGATGGTGCATGCCTTTACAGCTTTCACCACAGGAATACCCTATGCAAGGGCTTTTCCCTCACTGTGAAAGCAACTAGTTTGTATTGAGCTGCCAATGGAATGTAGGGCAGATGGAAGAAGTAGGTAACTTCATGATCATCCCAGCCATTTCTGTGAGAAACATTTGACTCCAGCCTGCCTGCATGGCTCTTATTCCAGTTATTTACCTTCTTTTCACATTGCTGCAGCCAGAAGATTGTTAAGTGCCCTTTTAGGGCAGGTTTGGATTCAGCGAGACTACTTACACAAGTAGCTGTCGGCCAGTTTGAGCTGTATGACCCTTGGTTCCCATTTCTAGGACACGCTGCTCACGACACTTGGGCCTGTTACGTCAATAACCTCTTGGTTGCTCCTTCTCAGCCCTGGTCCTGCAGACTCTGCTGACAAGCTTCAGCACAAAACATCCCCACTGAAGTTTTTATACACTGAATAAATGGTGGCTTGTGAATGGATGGTACAGAATTCGGTTGTTTATTTATCTCTGGCTGATTTTCTTGTATCAGAGATTTCTACTGCTCTAAAAATGAAAGGTTAAATGCCTTCAAGTCTTTGTCCTAGATATTACCATGCCACTGTGTTTGAACTCAACTGAGAACCATATTTGTATGCCTTTGCAAATGCCATTCCTATAATTCTCCCTTGCATGATTGTTTTCTGAAAGTCTGCAAAGTAAAGCTTGGTGGGAATTTTCCCACAGTCTATTTGTTTGTATGCAAAAATGCTGACTTGATGAAATGGAACCTTTCTGTGGAAAATATTTGTTCCAGCAAGAAAGCTTCTCAGATTCAGAAGTGAATTTCTGGAAAAAAAAAAAAAAAAAGGAGAGAAGGAAAAACTTTCCATTCTTTGCCTCAAAGTAGATAGCTGCTTAGTGCTGAGGCATTCCCTGGAGGAAATGGGCAAGAGAGGTTCAAACCCCACCTGTTCAGAGTGTTAATCTCTTTCTGGGCCAGCTATGCAAAGTTGAACATCATCAAACAGGGTAAAAGGGAATATTCTTGCTGGCTTCTGTCTTTTTATGCCTGTTTGGCTTTTTTTTTCAAGAAAGGTTCTAATTTCACTTTAATGCTCAACAAAAGCATATTTTGCAATGACCATTGTTTTCCAAAATATCAATGTTTTGCAGATAGTGTTACACTAACCCTGCAGTGATTGCCTTGCAGATCCATTTATAAATTCTTTTAAATGTGGATGACAGAGTCACTCCATTTGGGATCTGTACTCTGTAAATGGAGCCCTTCTGACTCTTTGCAGGTTTTTTAGGAGACATCCAGTGTTTGATTCTGCACATTTCTAACATATAAGCTGCTATGAGCTTTAGCTACTTAACTAATGGAGCTATTCATACACTTGATGCCAGCACATTATAAATTGATAATACTTTTATTAAAGTCAATAGAAAGATTTCTACTGGCCTCGAATGAAAGTTCATTACATTATGTCCTTGTATCTTCATGTTTTGATTTGACACTTGATCTTGTCTTATTTTAGTGATGTTCAGGTTCTTCTAAAATTATATTTACATCAGTCATGCATCCCTACAATTTCAGAAAGAAGTATATACTTTGTCTATTCTTTAGGGAGAGAATAGGAATTCAGGAAACCTGGATTCTTCTCTGACTTACTACTGACTTAGACTATCTATCATTATTTATTAACTTTAACAATTAATTTTATTATTTCAATATGCAAGGAAATTTAAGCACTAGGAAATATTTTACATTCAGTAAAATATTGCATTATAATACTCATAACCTTAATTTACTCAATGGCAATTTCACAATTAGGACATTATAATGCAGTTTTAATGCACATTTATAATAGTAATGAAGACCAGAATTACACAGATATAACACAAATCATATTTAATCCAGAGCAATCTCAGATAATAACCAACTAAGAATTATATGGCACTGAGTTTCTATGTATCATTTTTCTTCTATCAGAAGTAATGTTACAAATTGTCATAATATAAATTGTTTACATTTGTTTTAAAACATTCTATAATATTGATTGATACTTTAGGCTGAGTACTTCTTGTACGAATAGCATAAAATTTCTCCAACTAATGAGAAAATTAATTTTCCACCCAGCATAACTCCAGTGTTCAATTAGATTTAAATACTAATTCTCATAATGTACTAATTTCTTCAAAATAAAAAAAAAAAAAACAAAAACCAAAAAAACAACCAAAAAATCAACCAACGAAATGTACCAAACCAAAACAAAAACCACAAAACCCCACCCCTAATTTACTATTTCACAAAGCTGGCAGACAAAAATGCTTGAAAAGCAGAGTCTTCAGATCATAAAAGTAAATTATATCATAAAACTCTCCCACCTTTTAAACTAACATTCTGTGAAATACTGTTCAGCTTTACTTTACAAAGCATCACAGATTGGTCCCCTATATCATGTACTTTTGTCTGTCTCACACAGTAACCACCTCCTTGAATCTTCTTAGCTAGAATCATGCTGCCAAAACAGATGGACTCTTAAAGTAAAGTGCAAGACTAATTATTATTTCTTAATCTTCAGCTATGAGATTTATCTTCTAATTTAAATTGGAATAATACTTCCACTGCAGTTTATCATACTTGTACTGTGAAAAGCATTCTAGGATCAAGTAAAATATTATGTCATAGTGGGGTTTTTTTTAATGTTATTACAGTATTATTTTTTAAACTATAGCCAAAATATTTTAGGACATGTTGCATGTCTTGAGGTATGTGTTTAAGGGTGGTGAGTGCATAGCTTTCCAGCAGCTGTTAATACTAAAACAAGCATTTCTTCAGAACAGTGAAACACATATGAGAAGTCTGTGTTCAGTGACTGAAAAATATCAACCAGCTTCTGAGAGACCCCGGTGTCGCGTGCATTTGTAGGTAGCGGTATTTTACATTTGGAAGCTTTCTCCATGAGTCATGTCCTAAAGCAGAGCTGCAACTGAAGGATGTTACTGCTCCAGCCCTGCGCGCCTCCCCGGCCACGATTGCCAAATCAGTCTCCAATTAAGAATGTGAATGACGAAAGAATAAATAGCTTTGTGTTTTTTACCAAACACGAGGGCCCCTGTAGCATCCTGAAATGTGTGCTAAATTCAGCACAAAGCATTGTAACGTGCACAAACATAAAACTCTGCTGCCTGTTGTATAGATCTGTGCTCACTGCTGCAGTGAGAGATTTTGGTGGATAAGAAATAGCCTCTGACAAAACCAGCAGATAAAATTATTAAGTAAAGATAAAACCGTATCAAATGTCCCCAGAGCTGTGAGACAATAGTTAGCTTGCACTAATCTTGACTCTGAGGCTGAGAATGCCGTGGTTTCTCATGTCATTTCAGGAATTACTTTTGCTACGTTTTAAGGCATGATGCAACGGTTTAAAAAGTGGAAAATTATTTTAGCCAGAGAACATTCTGGCTAAAATCCCAGGTCCACTAAAATCAATGGGAGCTTTTACTGTGGTTTTGTGTCATATATTGGTTATTTCTCCTCCCTTGCTCTTTTCACTTATGCCCGTTTTATGATACTCTTCGATACATGTCGCTATACTGGAGTTTGTTACGTAATCAGAAGCCAAGTTTGCACCAAACAACAGAACATTATTTTTATTTGCAGAAACAAAAATGATGCATTTTCCCTCACAACTGTTGTTTGATAGATATATGATGGATAAAGGCAAGAGGGGATTTACTGAGCTTGAAGAAAATGGATTGTATATCTATGGCATGCTTTTTTGTGTATGTCACCTGCAATATGTGACCTTCTGTTGTATACGACTTAAAAGTAACCGCGTGCTGTAAGTTAAACACTAGAACATAAACACCTACATTATACCTGAAGCACACAATAAAATAAGAAAACATATTTCCATTTTCTGACTGACCTCAATCTCTGAATGAGGACCCCAGCACAATACATTAGCAGGCTGGGCTCCATTACACTGCCGCACACTCTGCTCAATCTACTGAAATATTGATTTTTTTTACAGAGCATACACACTGTCAAATCAATATTCCCGTTCACACAGCTGAGCAGCAGAGGCATAGCTGGGGCCTGCTCCATGGCCTAGCAGAGAGGGGGTATGTGGAGGGAGCAGGGACACAGGGGCAACGGGAAAGTGGGAAGCACCACTGCCCATGGCAAGCTGCAGCAGGATAGAACAGGGCTGATGTCTGATCAGTGCAATGAAGGAGGGAAGAACATGTTTCTTAAACTGAACAGAAAGGCTCAGGAGAGGCTTGCCCTTTCTGTTTCTGGACAAAGGAGCTAAAGGAGACAAAACCTAATTTCAAAATGTTTTTCAGTTTATTTCTCTTTCAGATACTGAAACGACAGCCACGGGTTTGGGTTAGCAGGTATTGATTGCTGTGATCCCACTATGACAAGGACCACATCCACACTGGAGTTCACGGTGAAGTGATGCCGCTGCAGGACAGGGCTGGCACATCTCCCCTGAACACCTGCATGCACACACAGCTCATATCCTGAACGGCTCTCTTGGAACTGCTCCAGTGCCTCAAGCACAGACAGAGCGTTTCTACTGTCGAGGCTTCCATGGCTGGAGGGGCCCTGGATCACTGCTTCAAACTTACTGGTGTCAGCAGTTCCATCTGAGCCTAGTGAACAAGCCGGATAGTAAACCCAGTGTAACTTCTCTGACTTTAATTTTTATATATTAATTTAATTCAATGTAAGAGATAAAAACAATTGCAGGAATTATTTTCAAAGCTTTGTTTAGGTAATTCTGTACTATTAGAGAACGATTAGCTCCACAGAAACTAATGAAGTCCCGACAACCTTCGATAAAGAGAGAGCGGAAAACATCGCTTTGCGACAACAGATGCCCTCAGCTATTCCTTCGGGGGAAGGAACACGCTCTTCAGAAAAAGTTGTTACATTCTTTCTAAAGTCCTTCAAACGCCAAGCGGGAACTGGAGACAGCCGAGGATTCCCCTCTCTCGTGCAGCACGGCAGAGCCCGGCTGCTCTCTCGGGGGAAGACAGGACA